TCTCGGATGCCGACACGAATTGTTGGGCGAGTCCAACCGTCCATGGAAAGAATCAAATGAAGTGCCCGGTTGCCGAGGAAGAGATGAATGGAGAGGACCGTGCAGCTGTTGACGAGTCGGACGGAATGGAGTTACCGACTGTTGCCAAGAGAAATTGATGGGACTGCTTGGCTGCTGCTGGGATGAATGGTGGGGATTCCCAAGTTCTTCCTCAGACGGTGGAAACCTGTACATCCCTCGCATGTATGTTTCTTCCTTCGGGTTGAACTTCTCGCTGACGATCGCGAACGAACTTCCGTTCTGCAAACACGGCTCGTGTAGGCGCTCCGAGGGCGATTCGAGGAATGCCGCTGCTTCCTTCTCTCTCACCAGAACTGAATGGACGAGGCTCTTGAGCATCCTTCTCCCACAATTTCTCTCTATCAGTCTGAGAACGAGGACCCCGTCGAGACCGAAACTTGAGTAGAACGCGTGAACGCGTTCCGCAAGTCGGGTGTGGCTTACGTCCACGAGACAGAAACTTCGGCGGAGGAACTGCTTCCACTTGAAGAGGAAACAGAGCCATGAAATTAAGTTGGCGAGATTGACCAAGGACAGCCCAACAAGATAGAACCAGACCAGAGAAAAAATTTTCTCGTTGTACAAATTAATCGGGAGCACGCATTGACACTGGTAGACCCGTAGGGAACCCTGTTGGGCAGCTTGGACGTGGCACAGTGCCTGCAAAGGAAAATGTTCCTTCTCTCTCCAATATGCGGATCCGATAAGAGATGTAGCAAATTGTGGCCCTGAGGTGACGAAATTCCAACCGAATAAGTAGCACAGAAGGAGGAGTTCAAACAGACTGTTCACTAGGTACAGCAATTTAGTGGTCAGATACACCGTGCAGAGGAAGCGAGACGGTTTCCCGCGTAGAAGTTGAACAAAGTCAAGGACAAAGTTGTTCGCTAGAGACTTCCAATCTGAGGGCTGCACGTTTACCTCAGACATGACAGCAACGTTGTCCATGACGGTCTTGAGAGTCACACCGTTTTTCACCGCCAAGAGCCTCCAGAATAAGAAAGGCACGTAAAACATAGCTCCCAGCAGCAGGAGGATCAACACAGTCCACTGATAGTAATTGACCCTTTGCACCGACTGCTCCAAGGTCTCATCCGCCGAGAGTTCATCGTGAGTCAGTGAAATATCATGCCGAGCCATGGAGTAGCCATCGTGAGACGCAACTGCAACCTTCCGCGGCTGGCGCTGGAAGGTGGAGGTGGTCCAGCAGTATGAGTTCACGTACTTGGTCTGAGACTCGGTGAAATACGTCGGAGTGAAGCACTGGATCGGGTCGCCCACCAACTGCTTCGTCATCAGCGGGATGGACAAGGCGAAGAAGAGGATGGGGCTGAAGCGTCGGTTCGCCTTGTCCACTCGGTCGTCCACTGGCTCCACACGGTCACCCACGAGCTGTCGCAAGTGGAACAGATAGGTCATGAGAGGCATTTTCCGCGTCATACCGCGCTTCCTGCAATCCCCATCGTCGAGTGGGAAGGATAGAATGAATACCCTCTTTCCCCCCGATCTTAGACACACTTTTCCGGCTTCATCGCATAATCCTCTTTCAATATCCATGGGATTCAACGAGCGCATGAACAGACCCAACCCAATCGGCATTCCCTTTCTACTCAAATATCTTAAGCGATTTATTCGAATTTGTTAAGCAAATTGCATTTGAACATGTGCTTTTTTTCCATCGGGAGCGAAATTTCTTATCCTTAGATTTCCATGAAATTACGCCATTTAAAAATGGAGGAAATCATCAAAATCTTCGCGAAACTTTTATCCGCACCGTGTGAAATTAATTTACATCAAACAGCCAAAAGTACGTTTTCTGACAGCAATTTTATATTTTCGCCAAAATGAGAAGAATTTGCATTGTTAGGATGTCAGATGAAGGTGTATCATGTGGATGTTAGACAATGTACTTGAGAAACTCAGCGCTCTAACCCCTTTATGAAATCAGCCTGCTGAATTCAGAAATCACGCCCAGAGGGATCCCAATGGGGTATTCTCCTGATGTTTCATATCCATCAGGGCTATACTTTCAGTGTTACAATGGCAAATTCTAGGCCTAGGCGAAGGCCTAGTTCCTAAAACGGAGAGATGAAAAAATACCCCCAAGAGATGAATAAATAATAATCCTATACTTTAATTCGAAGAGGTCAAAAGTTGCGGTTGTGGTGGTGGTGGCGGTGGCTGTCACCCCCAACGCGCAGGCCTACGATGCAATCTCATTCTAGATCATAGGCCAGGCCATCTACGGCCTGAAGCGCGAGGCCTACAAGGCTACACCTTTCCAGACCATCTTCTTATACTTTAATTCGAAGAGCCCGAGAGTTGTGGTGGTAATTGTCACCACAGCGCGCGAGGTCTACAACGCTGTCACTTCATGCCATGGGCTAGGCGATCCACCCCTCAAAGCATCCCTATCAGCATCTCTTCCATGCAATAGTTTTCTGTTTGCGTTTCATGTCATGACTTTAGCAATCGAGAAAACTCAAATAAATAGGTCAACTTAATCACGCAAGTTCATTGTTTCAAATGTCGCGCAAGCGGCCCGCTCATACCATGAACATGGTGGCGATTTTTGTGAGGAAATTTTGCTGAACGCAAAGAAAAAATGTTGGAGGTCCACAGGACGGTGATGAGGCAGTCGCTGTAGATAAAAACACGATTGGTGCTGGCGCGGAAACAACCTTTGCCACTGCAATTGCGATGCAAAGTGCCTAAATCGGTGCTTTCGGAGATGCCAGCCGAAATGGCTAGAATGAACAGCACGCAGCTGCACGTAGGGACGCTTAGACCGCTGAACAGCAAGGGGCAGCGAATGCTGAGCTCTAGAATAGGAGAGCCATGGAGCCTGCTGAGCAACTTGAAGCAAGGAATGCAGCATTCAGGTGTCGAAAGCCGGGGGCGGTCGAGAATTGAACCCGGACCTCCTGCTTTGCCGGTCAGGTGTGTTACACCTTACACCACGGAACTCGGGACATTTTGTCAGGCCTCTCCATGTCATCTCAATAATTACAGTCGCTTGCCGCAACGTACACTGTCAGGCTATACATTTTCTTGTAGGGAGGGTGCAGTTGTTTCATATTGCTGCCACAACGGAAAAGTGCTCCTGCAACAACTCACACTTCACCCTGAGGCGCTGAAGTGTTGCTCATTGGTGCTAATGTGGGGGCGATTCATTTTCAAGAATTATTCATTAGCATTGTGCGGCACATGCGCTAACTTCATTCCGAGCTAAAGTCGAACAAGTTCTTGGAAATGGCCCGTACTGTTTCAGAATCAGTGGTATCTGTACCATAAGCTAATGCTAACAGCCCGTGAGCTGATCGGTGATGCAAGAGTATTGTATGTGCTGGGACAACGAAATAAAAAAGTAGTCTTAAATCTCATGAAAACCTGCTAAACCTAGGCATTCGCAATCGCGATAGTGGTAATGCGCTCGAATACCATGATGATGGTCTTTAGGAAAAAAATATCCCGGTATTCGGTCAGCTGTATGTGTATAAATCTAATGAAGCGGTTTAGTTCCGAATGGGTAATGCAATGAACAGAGTATGTCATGGACCCGTTATGCTCGCAATAGAAGAACCAAATTTCCTTCTATAAGACGGCCAGCGTAGCGGCCGCGGTCGTCTACGCTAGTTCATTCTATGTTTGGCCGAACGAGCGAAAAAGTCAACCAAATTTGGGATGGGGCAGTTGGACGAGAAAATAATCGTGGCCAAAGGCCGCGACCCTTTCCTAACCCAACTGACCCATCATTTCCTAAAAACAGCTTGACTTTCTAACTCTTTGGCGTTTGACAGAACTGGAGGAAAAAAATGCCAACGAAGACTAGACCAGAAGGACGTAAACAAAACCTGACTGGAGTACGAAGCGCATGCCTGGGAAAGACATAGCATAGTCTGCAGACGGAATAGCCCGGGCGGGGCGCCGAACATCCCTCTCCTTGAATGCCCAAGTAAAACATAACCATTACATGAGCACATTAATATGACGCACTCATACCTCAGCTCTTTCGGCTGAAGCATATATCCCTGTAACATACAGTATTATCGTGAGATATATATCTTGTAAAATTTCGCTGGTAGTCTACTCCACCACTTGTCACTACGTTCCGCCAGCCACTGTAAGTGGATGGAGAAAAAGACCATCTGATAGGGTATTCGCCTGCACCAAACAAGAAACTTGATTGCCGACCGAGCTGCCCGCCAAATCCGCGTTTCAGATAGATCCGATTGAGTTCGTCCGCATCCCGTGCCTAGCTTAAAATCATCCCTTATATCCAGTGCCTGGGTGTTCGAAATTGCAACTAATTGCCTCACTTGCATGCTACAAGGCGAGTATAACTGAGAATTTGCATACATTCAGTTGAGGGTTCCCTGATTACGTGAGGCATCCCCTATTATTGATGGAAAGTGTGGCACTTTGAAATTCGAACGTCATCTCTTTAATAATTTATATTCTCTTATTGCTAATTACAAATTAGACCTGAGTTATTGATGTCTGTTGAAACGTTGTTTCCAGCGAAGCCGATCCCGCGGGACGCGGGAATGGTCTAGTTCACGGATATTTCTCTGAGGTCCCTAGATGCATTATGAAAGGACTTCTGTGCCTTTGGTTTGCTGAAATGAGCTTCGGGATATCAGCCACCTCATACTTTGAAGTATAGATTGTTGAAAGATGAGCGCCAGCATTTGTATTTCACTGTGCTTCAGAGCAACTTGCTTCCTTGGAAAGTTGGATGAAGAGGTATTTTCAAGAACAATGGATACCGAATCAAGCACTATCGGGATTGGAGCAGGAGAATCTAAGGCATGTAAGTATCTTACTGGTTCTTTCAAATTAGTGGATCCTATCGCACTCATGCGTGATGCGCTTCAGAAAGTCTAATTTTTTATGGCATGATGGCTCCTCAATGGAAAATGTGGGATGCCTCGAAAGTGTCATGTAGTTCTTGAAATGATGCGTACAACATGTGAAACCATGGTGTAATCTGAAGTAAATATATATTAGTATAATTCATTATGGAATGTTTTCAATATCCTCAACAAGAAGTTGACATTATCAATGACATTGTCACCAAGCAAAACTGATATATATGCACGACATAAAATAACCGCTTCATCTCAGGAAGCTTGAATGGCTGTTTCATTGGCTTCATTTGCTCAGGAAGTTTCCCTTGCATGTACCGATCCTTGGGTTTTATAACCTTCAGAACAAAGAAGAAAAAGCAACAAATATCAATTGGATGTAGTTTCGAAGTCCCCCTATTCGTGCTTGTACGAACAATCCTTAAGCCATTTTGAACGATTCTCTTGCAACGTTTGACAATAGTCGAACTGTCGAAATGTTGAAGCTTGTGTTTTGACCGGTCCGAATCTTACATGAATTTGAAGTACTGAAGTGTTAACCTGTCACTCTAAAACGGGGCAACTCTCGTTTTAATCGATCAATGAAGTTTTAAGTGGTTTTAATTTTCATTTCCTTGATGAACAGCAATCAGGGAAGGTATTAGGGGTTTTCGATACAGCGGTTGCAGAATATTTAGAAAATTTTGTTTTTTGCTTTGTAATTTGTGGAGGTAAATTTACCCCTCTATACTCATTCAAGCAATGGATCGTCCCTACATCAAGACCTACCAGTCTAGGAATAAATGAAGTTCCATTGGGATATGCCTGGAGCAAGCAAGACATTCATTGATCTGATTGAGGCATTGATTGATGATTGAGAAGTGTCTCATCCTTCTCCAGTTGATGCTCATGCCTCTTACGCAGTGGAGCGCATCATATTTATGTTCATCAGAGAGAAACACACTGGATCATAATGCATCCGAGTTCGTCGAGTGAATGAGACAATCGAGTGAATAGGTCAATTTAATCAAGAGTTGCTTCACATTACTTTCCTAATCTTACGAAGCCAATTTGATATAAGCCCCTGATCTCACTCTTCAAGCGCTGTTTACTATTTACAATTGAAATGATATAGTTATTTTTTATACTAAACAGGCTATAACAACATGATATCTCTCGAGGCAGCATCATGCTGCAATGATACCTGCCATTCAATTGCGATGGATCACCATTGCTTCATGTAAGCCTGAGATTGCGGGATGGTGGAAGGACCGGCATACCCTCCAAAGTATCGTTAAATCATTGGTTGATGTCCCTCTGATGGATAGTTGCATATGTGTAACGAGCCTGGTTGTGAAAGCCTTTGCCTTAATGACAAGGAAGTATATGATCGCAGTATACATGTTCACAGCTACAGTATTAGAAACCTCTAAGTCATTCGTGGTCAAAATTTAGAGCACATTATTGTAGCTAAATAACGGGAAAGGATATAAGCCATTCTACACCTTGCGCGTTTGGGTGCTATGCCTCAAAAGGGGTCATAGTTCACGTTTAAATTCGCCTTCATTTGCATTTGAAAGGGAAGCGCAAGGTTAATTATATGCACATCCCAGCGCTAATGAACGAAAACACATTGCTGGAAGGTTTGAAAAGGCGTTTATGATTTAAGAAATGAATGCAACTCAACAAGAAAACCAAGATTTATTTGCTTTTACTTTACCTGCGAATGCGTGCGCTAGAGCGTTCTTCTGACTTCAAACTAACGTGGACTCTTTCAATGTATCAAGAAATCAGCTCACATGTAATACATGGAAAGTGCCAAACAGCCCTATGTCTGACCGATACCAATAAAATGACACTGAATTGGAATTATTTCATTTAAACATCAACGGCAACGACCCCCCGAAACCATTGGAATTATGGGATGGAATGGCACTGAGAATCCAAGAGGTACCAGAACTTGCTATTCCTGTCTTAATTAAAATATGTTGGATAGGAATGATTTGCATGTAGTAAATAGTACTACATACCTCCAAATCATAACCAAATTGAATACATGGACCTTTTCCGAATTAAATCACCGTCTTTCGACAGGACACCATATTTATAATGCCGAGAGGTTCTCTATTTCGCATAATTCAAAACGTTCAGGAAACCGAGATGCGTTCATTATTGTAAATCTATTTCATGAATGTAACGACGAGAGTGGATGCATTCTGAATGGAAGTCAAGTTTCAAAGGCACCCATAAATTGTGCGAATTTTCAAGTCCTGAATCCCCAACAAAAAAGCTGCCCCCCCCCCCCCCGGCCAACTTACCACCACCCTCCGTCCTATCGCCGTTTTCATTGTTCATTTGCGATAAAAACCCCAAAAAAAAAGCCCCCCCCCCCCCCCCCCCCCCGGTCTGGTAAGGCAATTTTCAGTCATACGAAGATTTCATCAGCGAATCAAAATATTACTTAAATAACATGATTTGATGTTGTAAAGGTCATCTTAAGTGGTACAGCAGAAGGAGAAACATATAATTATTGCATACCGGGTGAGATTGGAGGTGTTTTTGCATAATTCCTGTCCAGTTCCCTGAGCATGAGCTGGGTATGGGAATGCCACAGGACTGAAACTATCCCTTGGAAGGAGATTTTCCTCAAAGAAGAGGGGAACGAACCCTCTCCGTACTTCTCAGGAAGTTTATCCACACCCATCCAATATGCACCCTCCGAATCTAGAAAGAAGGTATTTGCGAAGTCATAACTTCGTTCCATGGAGAATTTGAGCTGTGAGGCTTGTCATACAAGGCAATTCAGGAAAAAACCCTCTAAGGTTTTGCTTAAAAAGCCAAAGTTGCTGTGCATTTCCATTGTAGACTAGATTGTAGATGGACTTTTCGTTCTTTTTTTTCAGTCGCTTTCGACGTCATCGCCGAGAAAATACTCATACCGTCCAATGTAATATCCACAAAAGGGCCTTTTCAATTCCAGACAAAAATCCCAAAAAAATTTACTCCAAATATCCTCAGAAGGAAGGAGCCGACATGATTCAGTCAGGATCTGTCCCATTCACTGGGCTCGAAGAAAAAATACATTTCTGTATTGCATGTTTACATCAGGTAAATGGTACTATAATATATGTTCTGGGATGAATGTATACCCATTTTGGCTTCCATATAAACATACAGTGAAAACTTGTTAACTCGAATCCTGATAAGTCGAAATTCCGCTTATCTCGAACTTGAATGGTTGGTCCCGGCGGAACCCCGTAGGACACCATGTTAAATGCTCCGTTTAACTCGAATTCGCTCATCTCGAATTTCCGGATATCTCGAATGACATTTTCACTCCCGATGACGATTTTCTCACGATTAACTCGAATTCAGGGTGTGAAGGGGGAAAAATTATTATCGTGGGACTTTTTGATTTTTGAATAGGATGAATGATAAGAAACCCATTCAAGAGGATGTTATTTTGTTTCTTTTCTTTTTTTTTCTGCTTCTCCCTCCTCCCACGCAGACGCCTGTGGAGATTAAACCTGAGGATTAAAACCGAAAAGCTTCGGCTATAAAAAAGCAACCTCCGACATTCGCTCTGTCTATTTATCGCTCTCACTCCGAGCCATTCTAGTCATATTCTACTTCTCTTCGAGCGTCTGAGTCTTCAATTTCCTCTTGAGTGAACTCATTCCCCACAATGGCGGGACATATTGAACAATTTTTCTTGGAAACTTCAAAATTGAAGAGTCGCTATATCATTGGGGAAAGTTCATTAAAGTACAGTGAAAACTCGTTAACTGAAACTTTTAGGGACCGTGCA